GATAAGAAGTCCTCAAACGTACTAGTAACCAAGGAAATGCAAATTAAAACAGTGAGATACATCATACCTACTAGACTGACAACAATTAAAACATCTAAACAGCCCTGGCCAGTTTGGCTCAGCGGTTAGAGTGTCCGCCCATAGACCAAGAGTCTCAGGTTTGATTTCAGTCAAGGGCATGTACCTCAGTTGCAGTTGTATCCCCAGCCCTGGTCAGGGTGATGCAGGAGGCAGCCAATCATTGTGTCTCTCTCACAATGATGTCTCTCTCTGTCTCTCTCTCTCTCTCCCCCTTACTTCTTACTTCCCTCCTTCCCTACCTCCCTCCCACTCTATCTAAAAATCAATAAATAATATCCTCGGATGAGAATTAAAAAAAAAAAAATCTGAACATACAAAGGATTAGCAAGGATGTGAAGAAACAAACCCTTGGAAAGTACTTTAATAACAACAACTGGCCTTCCCTATGACCCCACAATCCCACTTGTAGATGAATACCAGGTACACTCTCTTCTGAGTGCCCAGCACAGACAAAAGGTAGGCCAGTGGGACATGGAATTAGCAGCATGGGGGGATGAGGGGACTGAGGAGGCTGCTAGAAGAAAGACTTCAAGTGGGACACAGGCCAGGTAAGATAATATCAGATGCCAGTCTTGCCAGGAGATGAAACTGGGGATCAGAACCACGCTATCTGGGACAACCTCCTCCTAAACAACAACTGAATCAGTTTATCTTCTACAGCCAATCTCATCATGTTATTTCTTTCTTAAACTTCAGCAGCTAAAACGTCCCAGAGCAGAGTCCCAACCTGTATCAATTTCCTGAGGTTGTTCTAACAAATTCCCACAAATGTAGCGGCTTAACACAACACAAATTAATTATCTTATAGTTCTGGAGATCTGAAATTAGACATGGTTCTCACTGAGCTAGAATCAAGGAGTCAGCAGGGGTGCATTCCTTTCTGGAGGCTCTAGGGAAGAATCCATTTTCTCACTTTTTCCAGCTTTCAAAGCCAGAAATGACAGGTAATCTTCTTCATTTCACATGACTATGACACTGACTCCTCTTCCTCCCTCTTTTATATTTAAGAGCCCTTGTGAATACTTTGGGCCCACCTAGGTAATCCAAGAAAATATCCTTATTTCAAAATCAGCTGATTAGCAACCCTCGTTCCATCTGCTACCTTAAATCCTCTTTGCCAGGTAACATAACATATTCACAGGTTTCTGTGGACTAGGATGTAGACCGCTCTAGAAGGCCATTATTCAGTTTACCACACAACCACTTCTCAACTCTTCCCCTAAAACATACCTATAGTGGAGTCCCAACCCCTTCAAAATACCCCCCATACCTCCAGCCTCAGAACCATCACATACCCTGCTCTCCCATTACACCAACCTTCTTGTCTTTTTTGAACTGATTTATACCCATCCACGCCCAAACTATTACAATTCATCCTCCAGAGCTCAGGCCAAAGGATACCTCCTTTCTGAAGCCTTCTCTGATTCCCAACCTAAAAGAATCACCCCTCTTCAACACACTAACCCAGCTTTCTGTGTATCCCAATTGCAGTACTGAGCGTGCCCTCCTGTTAACCACCTGTTTACATGTCTTTTCCTTGGTCCAAAGTGGTGACTCCTTCAATGATAAGAACTCTGTCTCATTCCCCTGTGTGTTCCCAGATCATATCACAGGGCCTGGCAAAGAGCAGGCACTCAGAGAATATTTCTAAATCTTGAAGGAGGCAGAAGAAAGCTGCCCTAGGTTTCCCTGAACAACAGATGCAAAGAGTAACCTGGGTTAAGTGTATAACCTAAAGGGCTAAAGAACTACTTAAAATGTTCATAATTAAAAAACCTCAACAATCCACTTAGTTTGGTGCACAATTTACTATTGTGTGGAAGAATCTCTGTACCACAAGTAACACCCATTATTTTCTATTGCTAACCTGTGGAGCAATTCTAAAGAAACAGGCAAAACTAACCTCAAGGGAAATAAAGGACTTACCTAAATGATTTACAAAGATGTTCTCAAAATTACAGAAGAGAGAGTAGATGTTGCTCCAACGCAGCAGGAATGCCTGGCAACTGCCCAACAGCCCCACCACATACTCAGAGGGCTCCAGTCCCACTCCAGAAACGGTGGGAAGTACCATGCTAGTGAGTATGAGGAATGCTACAATCGACCTAGTTTATGGAAAAATAAATTGCTTCTATGCACAAATATCTGTACATGTTATAATAAAGGTACATTTTTAAGAGGGTGGTTGTTAATTAAACAAGGTTTCGCTTAATTTCAGTGACTTGTTACCTGATATCCACAGCTAGCATGAAAATTCCCACCTGGGGAGGAGACTAAGCAAGAAAATGGAACTGATGAGTTGGCACAATTGTCCACTTTAAAAAAGAGACAACAACATGGCTTGAGTTTTTTAAATGCATGCGTCCTTTCAAGTTCAATAAAATTCCTCTGCTCTACTTTTCTTTAATAGTGTGAATTCCGAAAATCATTTTAAAACATACTCCAAAAACCACAGTGAATTTGAAGAAATTCAAAAATTTGAAGATGGGGGGGTGGGGAATGACACGTATTCAGCACCATGGACAGTGGACTCCCAACTTGCTTGTAAGAGTCCTTGCCACCCAGGGCTAAGAGATATCAGAGCTGCCCCAAAATACACAGTATTCATCCTAATGTTTAAGTTTGGGGGTGTTTCTAATACATGAGCAGGCATTATTCTTTGTTACGGCCCAAAGGACCAGTCTTCTTCATCAAAGAAACAACTTTTATCTACCAAAATATGATTCAGTGATCATTTTTACAATTAAGCCCTGAGATTTCTGTGAAATGAGGAATGACTTTGCCATTGACACGTGGCTTGAGTCCAGAAATTGGCTACAGGTCAAGGAACTGAAACTGTCAAAACTAAAACACAGAATCCAGTCTTGAATGGCTAGATTGTTTCAAGGACCTCACAGGACTTTTGCATATATAAATGAAGCATGCTCTGAGCTTCCCTCTAATAAAAGGGACATAGCTTCTTTTTAAACATCTAACAAAATAAACATATATTGAAATTTTCTCATAAGGACCCAAAAAAAAGTAACCATAAAGCTGTATAAATCATCTAAACCCAAGTATTAATGATGACATCTGAAAAAGTGATGTTCTGAGGTCTAATATCACCAGTAATCTGCACCACCTGTGGCAACACCAGTCATAAAACCCTGAATTCTAAACAGGACACCCAATCTTTAGTTATAAAGACTCCTTTTACCATCAAAACTTTTTCACAACTATATAAATTAAGTATTAACTAATAGAATACATGAAGTTATACAAATTTTAAAACACTTGTAATGAACTTGCACTGTATAAACAACAGCATCTACATGCAAGGGAAAAACAACAGTACTCAGAAGTGATCAACATCAGCTGGCCAGTAACTGCATTTATAAGTGAAGATCCCTTGGTTTCCAAGTCTGAAAACACCATCCAAAACTACTCCAGCTCCTCTAATGTGAGGATCAATGCAATCTTTTGTTATTTTTCCAACAATCCTTCCAGAGTGCTACTGTTCTTCAGTCTCTTTGGACCAAAATGGGCCTCTCTGAGATTTTAATGATGAGTTGTTCCTGTGCACGAGGAGACTGGGACTCATCTGCCTTCAACAGGAAAACTCCCTTGCACACCTCTTTGGTTTCCACATCTAAGCCAAGTTCAAGGAACAGAAAAGGGGTAACAGCTCATCCCTAAAAACAAGTGACATTTCAGAAGGATGTGTGAGGCCCTGAGCCAGAGGCATGGTCTGCACGGGAGGGTCTGTGTGTCACCCAGGCGAGTCTCTAAAGGGTCCTGCCGCGGCCTGCCTGGCCCAGCATTCCCTTGGGTGAATGGCACAGCACAAGCCCCCCTCGACCCGGAGAGTGCCCCAGCTCACACGCAGCGCGAACAGGCCTTGAAGGGAGAGCAGGAACAAGATCAATCCACACCCAAGATGTAAGGTCTGGCTTTTGGTTAACTTTCAGATGTGTGACGTGAGTGACAGACTTCAAAGTAGGAAGAAGAACATTTAAAAAGCCGCCAGGCAAAAAGAAACAATAAATAAATAAACTTTCGCTAAACAATACTTCCAGAGGCAGAACGCTTGTGGGAACAATAAGAATCACGTTTTGACACCCCCCCCCCCCCATAAAAGAAGAAACTCCAGGGACTGATGCGAGGAATCTGCACCTGCCTCCAGGTGACCGCTCCTCGGCTGCCCCCGGGTCCACGCAGCGGCGCGGACCCCCGGCGGGGGCAGCTGCGGCGGCCGAGGGGGGGGCACAAAGGGCCCCGCGCGGGTCGGCTCTGCCGCGTCGCCTCAGCACCTGCGCGTCTGCGGCAGCTCGGGGCGCTGGGGACCTGCCCCCACAATCTCTCCCAACCATATGTGAGCAAGTTTGACTCGTTTGAAACTTAAGCCCCATAAAGCCCAGAACAAAATCGTGGCAGCTGTTCCTCCGCCGGCGACCCCGTCCAGCCGTTACTGAAGGCAGTGTCTCGCCGACAACTTCTGGGGATGTGGGGGGCGGGGGGCCGGCGGCACCTCGTCACCCGAGTCCAAACACCCCGCCGAGTCCGGCCCCGGCGCGCTCCGGCTCCTCGGGGAGGTGGGCCGCGGGGAAGGGGGACGCCGGGGTCCCGATCCGCCCGCCCACCGGCGCCGCAGCGGCCGCCCAAGTTGGCGGGGCCGGGCGGGGCCTCCGCTCTTTCGGCCTCTCGGGGACTCGGTCGGCCCGAGACGTGCGCGGCCAAAGTTGGCGGCCGCCGGAGGTCGCTACCCCGGCCATGGCCCCCCGACCACTGCCCGGCCCGGACCCCAACCCCGTCCCGGACCCCGACCTGGGTTTGACCGCCAGGCCCCGACCAAGGCCGGGACCCTAACTCCCCGGCCCGGCCCGGCCCCCAGCTCCACCTGTGGACCCCGCCCCTGGCCCCGCCCGCGACCACTCACTCACCAGAGGGCGTGTCCGTGGGCCGGCCAGCAGGATGCCGGGCCGGGGTCAGGGTTAGAGGACGGGGTGATCTAGGCGGTGGCGGTGGAGCCTGAGGCGACTAAGTCTGAGAAGTCTGAGAAGACTGAGGAGACTGGAGCGACTGAGGCGACTGAGGCGGCAGTAGCGGTTCCTCACGCTCCAGCAGAGGCGCTGCGCGCGGCGCGGGCCCACCCCCTTTATGCGGCTGGCCAATCCCGCGCCGCGCGCCGCCGCTGGCCCCGCCCCAGCCCAAGAGCAGAGTCCCGCGAAAGCGGGCGCCGAGGGCCAATCGACCGGCGGAACGGCGAGTGGACGACCAATCGGAGCTCGTGAAGCTCTCCCGAAAGAAACCAACAGCGTCGCGGGGGCGGGGGCTGAGCCGGGCCAATAGCGGTGGGGCGGTACGGAAAGTTGGGGCGGGCACGAGGCGGGGTCTTGGACGGGCTGGTCACTGGCCAGGAACGAGTCGGGAGGGGAGGGCCACTGTGCGGGGGCGTGGCCAGAGCCGGGGCGGAGCTATAAATGGGAGCGGAGCGAGAACCTGAGCTGAGGGGCTGAGGGGTTACTAGCCCAGGAGGGGACTGGGGCGGGACAAGGGGGCAGAACCACTGGTGAGGTGGGGCCGGGGCGTGGCCTGGATGTTCTCGGCGTCGAAACTGCAAAGTAGCAGTAAACCCGCCCGGAGCGGGTGCCCCCTTCCCTCCTATCCCGCGGGCCGGGGTCCTTCGGTGGTCAGTAAACCAAACAGTACTCCTAGCCTCCGGGCCTGTTCCCAAGACCCCGCCGGGACCCCCAACCGACCCCGCCCCTGACCCTAACCTATCGGGGTGGGCTCCAACGCCCGAAGTGAGTCCGTTCCCCCCACCTGCCCCGGCGCCTCGGCAGGTGCCCCGCTTCTTCCTCCCACGCCGCGGAATCCTTTTGTCCGGCAGTGTACCTGTTTACCCATGGGGCCGACCCCAGACGCAGGTGGGCTAGCGCATGGACGTTCGCAGGTGCCTGGTTGGCACACCTGCCGTCAGGTGACCCGGGGACGAAGACTGAGGCTGTCTGAAAAGCTGGACTGTCCCCAGGTGTTTCGTGTCATTACCCTTTCACCACACCTCCTGGGCTGCGTTCTGCTACTTTATTTCTATCCGGGTCATTTCCGTGGCTCTGAACCCTCTCATTCCATCTGTGTACGGCCGGCCTATTCTCAGCAAGGATGATTTCTTCCAGCGCAGCATCCACGGCACGAGCCAGTTCACAGGCACCGCGGTGACCTCGGATCCCCGGGAGTCACAAGGGGGTGGGGCAGCCGGCCAGGCGGAGCCCTAGATTGTAGCCCTCGCTGGACCCCGGAGCTCAGGGTCCTTCCTGGACGGCGCTCAGCCTTAGTAGGCCTCCTTCCGCTTCGGAGCAAGGGGGGGAGGGTCAACTGGCCGCCCGATCAGGGCTTGGGGAGGGCCCTGGGAATGGCTGTATACTCCGCAAGCCTCCCTGCTCAGGACCTCGTTGGCACCGTTTGCTTCTAGACCGGGCAGGAGGCATTTCCCGGGCCTCTCCTCTGTGAACCCTACTGCTTCGTGGGAGGAGAAATGTGGAAGGAGGGCCGCAGGAAGCCAACCCACTCAGAGGTCATCATTATGACCTCTTTTTTTGGTGGAAGCATTAGAAATGGCCCAGTACTGGAGCCTCACCACAGGACACAAGGGACCCTGCTGGCACCCAGAGGCAGGCAAGGCTGGGCGACACTCAGAGAGAAAGTTCTGGAGGGTCCACACCAGAGGGGGTTGGGTATGGGGAAGGTCAGGAAGAGCAGCGTGCTCATGTATTATTCTTCAAGCGTCACTTGTATAATTCAAAGACAACCTTTAAAAAGGAAAAGGCACTGGATGGAGGGTGAGAAGGTGCTGGGTGGTGTCACCTGGAAAGGCAGCAGTAGCAGGATCCATGAATACTTCCTAAGAAGGGGTCAGGAGGCAGGGGCCATAGGAGCCCCTCCCAGCAGTGTGGGTGGCATCTGTCAGGTTCAGAGCAGAGAGACTTGGTTTAACTTTGTGCTCTGGGGGTAGGAAGGAGAATGTAGCAGCAGAGGGAGGTAGAGGCCTTGGTTCTGTGGTCCCACAGGAGGGACACTGGGACATGACACTGGGAATTGAACAAGAAAGGATGGTGGCAACACATCCAGCAGGACTTGGACCATGAGACCAAAGTTGCAAGGATTTGCAGCGTCCCTATTTCGTGGCTCTGACAGTTTCAGTTTGGCTGCAGGCACAGGGGCCAGAGGGACCCTGGGCACCCTATTCCCACCGTCAGAGTGCACCGCGGGGGCACAGGCAAAGCACCCTCAGTGCCCCGCCCCTGCCCAGATTACAGGCTGCCAGCCTCCCACTTCCCTATCCTCTCTAGGAGCCCGAGGCCTCTCAGCTGCCTTCATCGCCTCCTGAAAGACACAGTTAGTCATTAGGAAAGTAATGATAGTGTTTTCAGGACGGCATGTTGGACCCTAACAACTTTCAATTATTTCCAGTTCCTGGGAGGAAAAAAGCAGCTCATCCCCTGCCTCCGCCCTTGACACACAAGACAATCCGTGTCTGCCGGCATATTATCATAAATTAGCAGATCTCTGAAAGCCGAATTGCCGACTGGAGCAGCCTCCATGCCGCAGCAGCTGGGCAGGGCGGAGCTGGCCTGGGCTCGGCTCCGCCCTCTGAACAGGACCAGCCCGCCCCCAGGTCTCCACCACCGTGTTGCTACGTTTCCCTGCCTTAGCACCATGCGTGTGCTTTCTCTGTTCTCACTGCGGCCCTTCCTGTGAGAAGTGCACCCAGGAGCCCGTGTTTATAAATAACTCCATGGTATCTTGTTAAGCGGTGCGGGGAGCAGGGAAGGAAGGAGTCACATAATTATCATCTGTTTGGAATGATGTCAGATCAAACCCTGGGAAGTCTCATAGCACGGGCCCTTCTGATTGTCACACACATCCATGCCACCAGGGAGCTGAGGGTTGGCCACATTATCACAGGCTGGAGCATCTGGAGGGGTGGGGACGAGAGCCTTCTTGACGCCATATTAGACGGCTTAAAAGGATGGGTTAGGGGGTAGGGGGAGGAAATAGTTATGCACAGAAACAGTCCCAGTGGTAATTAATGTTAATGTCCTCCCAGGTGTGTAGATCTCCCCTGGGAGCCCTTGCATGCGGTACCCAGCACCCCTAGCTTCAGGGGCCCCTTCTCCCCTGCTATGGAGAGAGGTCTTCTTTGGAGTAAGGGGCATCTGATGGTTTTCAACAGAACTTCCCCTATCCACTTCCATCCCACCCCCAAGGGCCTGCCACAGTGACAACTCACGTTGTCATCACAACCACCCTTATGCTCTCCTCTTTTTTTTTATCCTCACCCGAGGACTTTTTTTTATCCTCATCCGTGGACTTTTTTTTTATCTTCAGATAGAGTGAGAGGGAGAGAGGGAAGAAGAGAGAGAGAAACATCAATGTGAGAGAGACACATCAACTGGTTGCCACCCACATGACCCCAACTGGGGCAGGGACAAACTGCAACCGAAGTACCTGCCCTTGGCAGGAACTGAACCCGGGACTCTCTGGTCCACAGGCCGACGCTCTAACCACTGAGCAACCGGTCAGGGCCACCCTTACACTCTCCTAAACACAAAGACACAGTTTGGGAACAGGGTTGAAGAGGTTGTGAGAGTTGTGCATTTTCCCTTCAGAAAACACTGAGGCAGAAAGTCCTCTATATAGGACCATACCCCCAGGCCACTCTTAGAGTATCACCAACCTGCCCTTCCTCCCTACACTGACAACCACTATCCTTACAAAAAGCTGCCTAGGGAGGCTGAGCTCAGAGGTGATTCTGTGGTAGCCAGGGTGATGCCCCACAAATCGGGAAGCAGGTACACCAGTCCATGCACACAGGTTCTTCCCTGTGACATCAGAGCCAAAAGACAACACCTGACTTGCCTTACCTGGTGGCTAAAGCATCCTATTGCATTTTATTAGGCAGAACAATCAAGTGATCTCCTCCTGTGCCCCCTACCCACCTCCTAAACAATTGTGAGCAGGTCCCAGAGGCAGCAAAGCTAGGATCAACCAGGCCTCTAAGGTACCCGTTTAGATGATGGTGTCAGAAATGGGCTGCAGAAGAAGCAGTGAGCATGAACTCAGCATCTGAGGAAGGACAGAGATGGAGGGAGAGAGACAGAGAAAGGGAAAGAGTCAGAGACAGAGAGAGAAAGAGATATAGACAGAGACAGAGAGAGGCAGAGAGACACAAAGAAAGACAGAGACAGCGAGAGACAAAGAGAAACGGAGAGACAGAGAGAAGGAAATTAAGACACCAAAAAAACGGAGGAGGGAGGGAGACAATTGGTCCAGCCAAAAGCTCTGGGCTGTTTTCACCCCTTTTATCTTTTTTATATGTAAATATGCAAGGTTTCTAATATTTTGAATAAACAAGAGAGGTACTGGCTGCCTTCTTTTTTCTCTCTGAAAAGAACCACCACATCTGCTCACGTCTCACAGTAGCAGCAGTAACTTAGGTCATCCAGACTCTCCTTCTATTTTCGGAAGACTTTCAGAGTGAAAGTGGCAGCCAAAATTCCAGCCCTCCTCTGTGAGCCTCAGCAGCACTATTAAGGCTGTACAATGAGAACTACTATCTTTGTTTGAGTCACTCCCCATCCTCCCTCCACTCCAGGTGGCAAGTAAAGACTGGGAGGGAAACAAGTCTTCTGACACCTGCGAGAAGAACGTGCCCCCAAATTGTGTGACTGAATGTGGGGGAGATGTGGATGCCCCTGCTTTGTCTACACATATCTAACAGTCTAAAACAGACTCTTATTCACTTGCTGCTTTTTTTATGAGGGTCATGTGAAACTTTTCTATTGACATAAATAAGCATCTCCAGTCAGTATCAGTGTAGATTATTTAAACACAGATCTAATTAGTAAAACACTCTTGTAATAGAAAGGGGGAGAGGAAACAGGCTGGGCCCAACCCTCTACACACTTATTTACTTGAGACCCCCTATTTTCTTAGAGTTCTATCTATGTCATCGGTTTCCAATTGCACTTTCTACTTTATTGGTCTTTGACTCCTACCATCAAAGACCTCTGATGAGAGCATTCAGGTGAAAAGGTAAGAATG